AAAAAAAAAAAAAAAAGAACCAAAATAAAGCAGAGCTATGGCTAGGGGCTTAGGAATAAAGCAACATAAAACCTCCAAAGCTTACAGGAAAACCATTATGGTTGTTGCTCCTCAAAATTGAAAGTACATCCACAACCTTCACAACACGAGGAAAATAGACGACCTACAAAGCACAAACAGTGCATTGAAAAATTTTTTACCCAACAAAAGGAGAGAATGTGTAGGTAGGAGAAGACTACAGGCATAACAAATAGGAAAATTCAAAATTATTGGCGACATGCATAGGTCATGTAAAACAAAACCAAAATTCAAATCAATAAAAGCTATTTAAAGTCACAGATGCAAAGAGAAGGTTAAATTTTCTATTATTTCATGAACAAAATTCTCCGCGACTTCCCAAATTAAACCACTAATGAACGAGGCAAGTTTGAATATCTTGAAAAGGTAAAAAAGAAGAGTTATCAAGGAAGGTAGAACTCAAATTTCAATTTTTTCACAGCCAGCAAATTAGACAATGTTTATATAACAATGCAAACTCTATGGTTTAAGCCTTTATACAAAATTCTAGACTAGTCACAAGTTGACAGCATAGCTTTGCCACCAACCTGCTGATGTCCACATGCCTCCTTTGCAGTCATATTACGCATTTGATATTTTGGTCTCGATTCCAGTAATGGGATGCCCCTTAGTCGAGCCTGCTCCTCATACAGGCCTTCATTAAAAGCATCACCCACAGCCTACAGATATACAAATCCAGAAAACTTAAAATATGACAGATACAAAGCAACAGAACAAACATTCAAATGATTTTACTCCATTCTTCAAAAAACATGCAAGATATAAAGATACTTTGACATAATTGGAACCCAAATTAGTATTACAAAAAAATTAACGTCTTCAAGCTAAAAAGATGTAAAAGATACAATATGCATTTCTTTTTGCTCCAAAAATTCAAGATAGGCTTCTTTTGACAAACATGTACGGGATAGTGGATATATCATGTGAAAATAATTACTGGGAGAACAATGTTGAGAAAAGAAGTAAATACATATACGTAAATGACAGAAAACGAGAGGGAGAAGGATAAAAGTGAAATATCTAAAATAAAAAATATCAACTTTTAGATTAGTTACATTGGGTTTCATTTCAAGGACAAAGTAATATTAACTATATAACAATATAGGTTTCAAAAGGACAACAACAAACTATATAACCATGATGACTCAGAAGGTAAAAACAAACTACCTAACAATATAGGTTCCAAAATATCATACCTTTGATATGAGGAGGACCAGCATGATAAGAGGTAGAAACTTCAAGTTATTCGAAATCTCGACCATAATCACACACAGGGATACAGTCATCCTCATCGAGCCACCAAGAAATGATGCAGCTCCTAGGAGGGCATATCTGGATTTTATAGAAGCAATAAAATTCTCACATGTTATATAGGAGAAGCAAATTAATATTAGAAACCGAAAGATAGATTCATAAGATGCCCAGACCCCCTGAACTCCAGAGCCACTAGAAGAAATTGAGACTCAAGTAAACTTCTAAAACAGCAAACACGGAGGAAATTGCTAATGTAATCCTACGAATTGGCCATGTTGCAAATTTAGTCCCTAAAGGTGCAAAAATGGTCCTCCAGTTTTTTTTAAGAACCAATTTTGCACTTTCGGACTAAATTTGCAACACAATCAATTCAGTTGGACTAAATTTGCAATTTTTTTACACATAAGTACACAACACACACACAAATAAACATACATATATATTTGACCCGAATATAACACAAACCCTCAACCCCCCACCCCCTTCCCCTCCCTCAGCCCCAGCAACCACGCACACACAAAAGAAAGAGAATAAAAGGAAAAACATAGAAGCGAGCGGCAGCTCTATAATTAATTGAAGTTACACGGAAATATACATATATATATATATATAAAGACAAAAAATGGGACTTACGTTCCTTCTTCAATATTCAACTTCTTGTAAAAGCTAACAGCAAACATGCCAACAAGCCGACCATAAGTTGAACCAATCATTATGCCAGGAACAAATTGACCTGCCGGAACAGCAGTGCCAAAAGTGATCACTGCTAAAGAGTAAAACATAACCTGCACATGAACACCACATACGAATATAAAATTGGCAGGAACATAAACATTAAATCATTGCACATAATTCACCAAGATATACAGGAGACTAGCTGCTAACTCAAAACTATCCAACTAGAACAGATTCGACTTTTACTTGATTATGATAAGTAAAGAAGGACGAGGTTTAAACATTTCAGCCAATAGATACAACGAGTGTTTTCAGTCCGAGACCTGAAAGATGAGTCAACTATCAACTCAGGGCTTGAAACTAAATTTCCATCAATCTGGGGCCTGGAAGATATGAAACTACCGGTTTGGAGCTTATGTAACACGGTCAATAATCTTTTTACGTCAGCCCCGTTAACATCCACACCTCAATTCCCAAGAGTAAACTAATTATAGTTGTATGGAAATAAAAATAACTTCAAGCTAGAAATTATAATTCTTTCATCTCTAAATTTCATATGAAATTAAAAGGGGGATTTTCCTAATTACAAATCTAAACCCCCTTCTCGTAAACACACCTCACTATGGGCCAGAGCAGGTTAAATTAAGAAGGATTAATGTGGTTTTGGTACTAGGTGGGCAGGTAGGGGCTCGATGTTCTCACTATCGGCTGGTCACTCGGCCCGAGTTTCAAGGAGCTCGGATTTAGTTGGCCGTTGGTGGTTCTGATTGGTGGCTTGGAGAAAAGCTTCTGGTGACTGAATGATCGGAGATTCAATCTGTGAAGGCGGGATTTTTTCCAATGATATGCAATTACACTTTTCTTAGCTAAATTACTTGAGGCAACAGCTTAAAAACTAAAAGCATTAAACACCCTCTGCTTGAAATAAATGAAAAAACTACAACAAATTTACACTCAACCCAACTGTTCTCGCACAATGTAACGCGCACAAAGCAATTAGGACAAATAGCATATGACACCATATATTCAATCACGATAAAATCGAATTTGAGAGGTAATGCAGTACCAAAAAGGTCAGAAGGCTCTGCGCACTAAATTCATGAATTGTTTTAGCACTAAACAAATTCCTGATGGCATCATCCTGGAACACATTGAGGCTGCATTAGAAGATACCACATGATAACCACCACTAAAGAAGAAAATGATGTGAAATTTCTGTCAACCTGCGTGTTGAAGAATATAGTAGCAAGGTCGTTGTATTCCTTGTCACCACAATAGAACTGCAAAACGTAAAAGTGCAAGATAATTGCAGAGTATATTTCAATGGGATATGAAGCATACAAGTTTGGATGAGTCGAGCAAAGAATAAAAATAAACCATTTAAATGTAATTACTGCATCAGACAAGTTTTGCTAGTGTAGATTGATATGTTACAATTTAGTCATCAATAATTAGCAAAGTTAAGAAGTTTTGTGATCTCTAGCTCAAATCTATGGTTATAAGAATTAAATATGAAGTACCAAGCTCAAAATATCTTAGCCTCTTACATTGACATAATTCCCATACATTCCCGGGCGACGAGGACATTCAATACCAGAATCAGCATTCGCTTCAGGGCAAGGGGTGCATTGTCTAAAAAGTGGCAATCCAAATGAAATGATTGAGGTGATCAAAGAAACAATACACACTTCAATAACCTGTAATGTAAGGGAATAATGTCAATATATAGTCTACCATTACTGGCAGAGTATGAATATCTCACATCAGGAAGAACTTACTTTGACTCGATTTCCCCTCTTGTGCAAATAATTCCGGCGCCAGAGAGCTATGTAGAAAGTAAGTTGATTAAAAAGTGCCCCTGCACAGGAAGTGAGAAGGCATTCATGTAAGCATATCACCTAAGCATCATTCTAGAATAGGAGAAAAAAACAAAATCAGCTGAAATATATTTGCACAAACCTAGAAGACCCCCGATAACACCAATAACTGCCATTGGCAACAACTCCTGAAACGAGTAATCTTCTTGACCACTAAAACGAATCTTGGTTAAAGTGCAGTCAAGTACAGAAATAAATGTTTGACGAGCGAAAACAGATAAAAATGAAAATGACGAAGCAAAGTTCAGATTATTACCCTGATATGTCCCATATGATAAAACCTCCAGAGCCAAAATGTCCGCACTTTCCACTTTTGCACCACCCCATTGCCGTACGTACAACAACCCCAACAATGGCAGATGTAAAAAAGACACGCCACATAAGCTGACTCCTCCACCTGAAACAGGGAGCAAAAGCAGCAGCTGAATCAGCTAGCCAGTGATCCTCAATGCTATCATAAATTTCTGCATACTTTTAGCATTTTCATTACTAAAATGATATGACAAAACAAATGCACACGTATCACCCATATTCTCCTTTCCTCTTTTAAGTTTATAAGCCATTTCACTAACTTGAGTAGCCAAATCTACTTATTTTAACTTTAAGCAGAATCTTGGTATGTCGTTAAGTGGTGCTCTGAGTGCGAAAAACAAGGGATCCAAGGGCAGAAAATACATTAAGTTGCCACAGATATGCATATATCAAAAAAGATTCCTCACACCAATCATTACATTACCATGATGTTACTTCTTCCAGTGCAAACAATACACCACCCACAGGAGCTCTAAAAGCAGCAGCCACGCCTGCTGCACATCCACAGGTTACCTTGTTCAAAACATTAAACCAGTACATAATGAGCAATGCTACAGGGATCTATTTTACCACAATAATGCATCTATTTCATCCTCGTGAATCAGCCAACAGGAGGTAACAACGCCCACTACATTAAAGATCTAGAAAGCATGCACTGCTATAGAAAGCCACAAATGTACTAGGTCCTCAGCTGGCTTTTGGAAGTAGAGCAAGTGACAATTAGAAATATTTACAATATAGTATGAACTGGACATGCTGATTTTATTTAAGGCTCGACTAGTATGCCAATTCTAGAAAAGCCTCCAGCACATATTAATAAAATATGTGTAAGGCAGTCTTAAACAATTGTGTATTATTACTGAAAAGCCATCATAGGTCATGGCTCCCTATCCAGGCCCAGAAAAGATACCACCACATCTGCAAAAAATTAATGAACTCCATCCAGTAGGAGAACCTATAATATCACCTTATTTCACACTAATGGCTAATAGAAGTTTCCATATGTATTATGTAATTCATCAAAGTCCAGAAAATTTATCTGCAGATAAAGGCACAATGAAATGGAACGAAAACACTACATATTGTCAGAAGTAAAATGGCAACCAGAAGGATCAATATTCATCATAGTACTTACAAGATCACGACGATCACGCTCGCTTGTGAATATTTGTAACCATCTGGAGCGCAGATGATATTTTGTAGAACCACCCTGTAGTTATAAGAAAAGGAGAACAGAGGGAGATTATTCGACTTTCGGACTTCGTTTTTACGTTTTTTCTCTCTAGAAACTCATTCCTTTTCATTACTTTGCACTTTGAATTTGTTCTTGGAGATTGAAAACTTCTATTTCTCGCTTTGGATTTGGATGCTTTTGGATTTAACATTGGGATTTTATATTAATCGTAAGTTCCTTTTCTCAATTTCTCTATTGATGATGATGACTTGGGTTATTGAAATTTGTGATGTTGAATTCCATATGAATAGCTAAATCCGTACGCTAGGGATAGGGGATGATTGTCTTGGGGGCTAGTTGCAAGTAAATTAAGTCAGACAAGTTAGTCAGCAACAATTTAGTAATGTTTGGATCATAGAAGAAATTGTTTTTGTTGCAACTTATCCTTTACATGATACCCAAGAAATTATTCTTTTAATAAATATGGACTTACTTGCCCAAGCAACGAAGCAATACAAGCACCAATATGTACAAGTGGACCTTCTTTACCAAGAGCCAAGCCACCTCCCACAGACCCTACGCTACCAAAAATCTACAAATGGGAGAATATTATATCATAAAACCATCACATAAACAAAAATCCCGGTGAAAGAGCCGCTTTTACCTTTCCTACTAATGTTCTGAACAGAAGTATGCCATGCGTGTCAATTCCTGCACAAGTTTGAAGGATATTAGCGTCAGCTTAAAAAAAGAAAGACTGGAACAAGTAACTACAGATCAACTCGTATGTATGTAAATATTGACCTTACCATTTAGATAGCCCTTGATTTCAGGAATTCCTGATCCTGCAGCTGCTGGTGCAAATTGTGTAACAATATATACAGAAGATAAAACTAGAACCAAGTTGATGGATGCATAGATCAGAAACCCCACGAAGTACGACTTCTGAATTATATTGAAGGTCAGCGAGTACTTCCATCCAGCGAAATTCTCAACAGAAATATTGATGCAAACAGCAGCTAATGCAGTACCTGAGGATATATATAAAAACAAACAGCGAAAACTACAACTGAGCATCACTTTAGCTTCAATTTTATCTATACGATTCAGGCACTAAGCTATTCTAATTAATTAAATCATTTCTTAAGCTTACCAATCCCGATAAGCAATGCCAAAATCCATTTCACTACCACACTATATCCCATATAAAGCTTCCCCCTCTTTGCCTGTGAAATTCAAGTACCAAACCAAACCATGACCATGATGGAAAGAATCATTATGTCGATAAATAACACGAACAATTTGTACACAATCATACAACTTGAAGAAAGAATAAATCGTCACATAAAAGCATGTAATTGTGTGGTTTGCACCTGCTCTTGTCTGTAGGCCAAATTCTCAATAACTTCATAGTCGAGGCTTTCAACCGTGCTCCCATCGTTCTTTTTCGACCGGCCGAGCTCGTCATGAGCACCAGTGCCATCTGCCTCAACCTCCGAGTTCGGCAGACGGGCCCACATCAGCTTTGCTGTCTCCATTCCATTTTGCAAATGATTCGATAACATCTCTCTCTCTCTCAAATTTAAATATGGGATTCCTAATGTCGATCAAATCAAAAACCTCATTAAAGCCGTCGAATCCGGAGAAATTCTTGGAGAATTACCTCAATTGACGAAACAAGAAGATTATTTGGAAACCTAAAAACTACGAAGACGTGGATGAATCGAGGTATTATTGAAAAGCCCTTTTGCCAGATCAAACAAAAACCCTGAAATCTGTACAAACAAGTAAATCTTGGAGGCAAATTATGAGATTTACAGAGCAAAGCGCAGAACAGAGAGGTTTTGTGTGGTTAAAAAATAAATCTTGATGGTGAAGAGAGAGAGATCGCAGCAAGGTTGCTTTTTCTCTCCCTCTGTATGCGCGCGTGTTCTACTTGTCTTGCTAAATACGAGGTCTGTTTCTATTACGATCTTGCAGATTTTTTTTTAATATATTTTTTTTTTTCCTATCTTGCAGATTTTCTCCCAACAAACTTGTTTTTCGGGCAATTTATATATTTATTAATTAATAAAAAAATAATAAGTGGACAAA